ATATATATATATATATATATATATATATATATATAAAGCAAAAAAACTATGTTTATTATTATATATTACAGAAATTACAGAAATTAGTCAAATAAGCATGGAAAAACGGAATTACTTGTTTTTTTGTTAACTTAAAACAGTATTGTAGCTTGAAAATTTAGAATACCAGCATGAAAGAAAGATTAGTTAGGTTACCATGGAACACAAACAATATTCATGAAACTTAGTACTGATGACTTGTCTGGCGTCTGACAGTTTTTTGCAGAATTTGGCTTTTTACTTGGAATCAAAAAAATATTTGCTATTTCTACGGCATAACTTTTATAAATCAAAGAGAAAAAGCGTATTCAAATTTTCGTAATTACTTTAAAAAGAGCAAAAAGAAAAAGACTCGAAAACCACTGACGAAAACAACAGATAGTACTAGGAAAATAATGCGATGAAAAATTAGACATGAATGCACTTTGTGTTGAAGAGCATTTCATAAATTTGAGAAATAAATTTTATAGAATAAAAGTATGGAATAAAAACGCTAATATTTCTTAGAAAACTAGTTTTGGTAGCCATTGACCTTATTACAACAGCATAAAAGTTTGTGTTTGAGTAAGATTATATAAGAAAAGTTTGAAAATACTAAATAAAACACTGCAAAAAGTTTTACTGATCACTAATTGTTGATGAGCTATTTTAATTACTTGCTAATACTAATCCAAATGAATTAGTAAGTAATTAAAATAGCTCATTAACAATATTTTTTTTACGTACAACAAAGCATTAAAAAATCTCTTAAACTTTTTTGAAATGTAGATTGCAAATTCTATTCAGTAATTTTTTATTATGATAATATCAAATACTTGAGAGACAAAATCCCTATCTCCACTACATTATTTATCTCCTCTTCATCACATGAAAATATGATGGAAATAATATCTTTGTTAAAAAACTAAAAATTTAGTATGTTTCAAAAGCAACAATTAGTGCATTGTTAGAAATGAAAGAAATATGGAAAAGCAGAATTGAATCATTCCATAAATATTTACTTTCGATTCTAAAGCGTTTGGAACAAAAAACGTAGTAACGACTACACTAAGTCTGGACGATCTGAAAAACAAAAGATACTTATAAAATGCACCGTAAGCATGAAATGTTTATCTAGAACGTAAGAAATATATGTATATTTTATTGCTTTACCACAGTTTCTTTCTCAAGAATCAGATAATAATTGTATCAGAATATTCATGGACTCATTTTTTCTTTTTGTAAAATAATCTCACATGTAAGTGCAAAAATTATTATTTGGTTTAATGTCAATTAAGATTCATTACATTTTTTTTTAAATTAAGAGCAAAATTGGAGAACCAGTTTTTATGCCCAAATTGTCAAACACAATTAAAATGCAAATATGACAAATGAAAAATGAAAGGAAAAAAAATCCCTTTAGTCGTTTTCAACAAACCTAAATACATCGTTTAAATCAGGAAAATGAAAAGAATAAGTCACTGTGAGACTAAATCTATTTTCAGGATAAAATTGAAATTAGAAAAAAAAGAGGACTTAATGAGAATTGAGAAAAGAGTCTGAACGAAATTTTTAACGCATTTCAGCAATTACCGTGGTAACAGTGATGCATTTTTAATTTTGTTGATAATTATGAGAAAAATAAGAACAAAAATGGCACACTTTTTTTTACCAAATTATTTTTCATAGAATTCATGACACAATCCTTTCCAAAATTTTTATATAAAAGTACTTTGAAATCCTCATCATCAGTTGATATGTCCACTCATCACTATCATCATCACTTTACTGTTGTATTTTTGTGGACCGTATTGAGCGCGTTTTCTACCTCCTATAGTGTCCACTGGCGTAAGTTTATTGTCAATTCAAAAAGTTTGTTCTTTTTCATGAAGAAATAATTTCCAAATTTATATATCGTTTTCTGTCAGTGCTATACTGAGTGAAAACAAAACATTAGAATTATTAGAAGCATTTTTTGAAATTAGAATAAACTGTCAAAAATTTTTAACATTGTGAAAAACTAGAAATTAAAAAAAAATATCTGAAGAATTTTTAAATAAAAACCATGATAACAAAAACTGCATAAGGTTTAATAAAAACGAAGTGAATTTAGAATGGCGTGACCTTATTTGTGATACGAAGGACGGGATCGGTGTAGACAAAATTAGTAAGCAACCCGCCTCCTGTAATTTGGCTCTGCGTGAAACTGGTGTTGATAATGATCCAAATGACAAACGGAGAATCGTACCAGGAAACAACTCCGGTTGCTTCGATGTAAGAACTTCATACTATGCCCTTACTTTATTAAAGAGATAATAACCACAAACCGAAGCTTTATATGAGTCTTTTATATTTTTAATTTTCGTTTTGCGTTTAAAAAGCAAAAATGTTAAAAAAAAAGCTGCAGTCAGAACTACAATTGCAAATAATGATTAGAGAAACTTGGATTGATTTTGCTTGTTTTCATGATTAAAAAGTTTCACGTCAAAATGCGTCAAGGAAGAGACAAAAAAAAAAAAGAAGATTGCTGGAGTACATGAGAGAAGACAATATTCATTCATTAAAGAACAAATCTTATTTTAAACTTTATCAAAAAGTATAAAACTAAATAAGTCCTGTCTTACTTATTAATTCCTAGAAATTCGCTTAGTTCCATTCATTGATTTTTAAAGATATTCTCAGTTCACAGAAAGTTTATAGAAATCATTTGAAAGGAAACTACAAAGAATGAAACCAAACAACAGTTTCGGCAAATATTTCTATAAATAAAATTGAAAGAAGGAAATGAGCAGTTAATTGTTCAAAATCTCTCAAACTACTGAAAATGAGTATGCAAATGCGACAGATAATGAATCTCATGACTGCCAATTAAATATGTTAGGCGATGAGAGTTGAACAAAGAAGGATTTTCCTTATATAAATTCTTCTTTAGGAGTCAATAAATGGAATTGTACGCACATATTGCAACATTCTGTGTCCGAATGCTGATACAGTATATCTGATCAAACGAACACCTCAAAATCATCGTTCATGTTTCTCCCATATTACTTATCGTTTTGAGAAACGAGGAAAAGACTGGTATTTGTGGCGTGAAAAAGTAAGTTTGCCTCCTTCAAAACTTTCTTTCGAAAAATAAAGTTTTCTGCTACTACCGAAAAAGGAAGAAATAGAAAAGAAAGAAGATTGGTGGAGTACATAAGAGAAGACAGTATTAACACTGGTATTAATGAAATAATTTAGCAAGTTCATGAAAAATTAGGTCAGTTCCTCATTGCAGAATTGTCGCGTATCTAAAATAACATTTACGACACGGTGTGAATTCCATTTTAATCGCAAGCAATTTCCAAACGATGAAGAACTATTCAAAAAACTACGAAAAACATGATAATGGCAAATAATGAAGAACAAACACAAAATATAATTATATTTTTGTGACTGAATATGAGAAGGACGACAGTCCATTTAGCCTGCCAGATAAAGCAGATTATCTTTTTTTCTTTTCTCATAAGCTTTTGTAGAAAGTACTTACCTACAAAGGCCACTAATCTTCTTCAAAAAGATATGGTTGCATCCTAAAATTGCATTCACTATGGCTGCAATATTAAGTGCTTTTAGCAAAGAATAATGCCGATGACGACCAAAAATTTTTCTTACAGAAATACATACACAAGAATTAACTTTTTGTAATAACTGAATCTGTTAAGGTAGGTAAAACCTTGACTTAAACAGACAGGTTGCACAATGCCTTTTAAATTCTACAAGATCACTTGGTCTCATATTAAACGATAGACCGACAAATTCATCAGTTCAAATTTAATGTTTATCAATGTTGCTGGATGCATGAATAATATAATTTGAAAAATATGTTAGCGTTTACTTAAGACTTGTTATGCTTATAGTGCAAATCAGTGCAATTTGGCGTTTTCAAGCTTTTGCATATTGAAAAATGACTGTACCTGGGAATATATCTTATTTTCACTATTTTGATAAATTTGGTCATAACATTATTGACTCGTCTATATTTTCCACTTTTCGATTTATTTCTATGACATCATCAAAATTTTTCACAGTGATAATTCACAGCTTCTTATTCTTAGTATCATATTCATGTTTTTCAAAGTCTTAAAATTTAGTCTTCAAAATTTTGGCTGTGAAAATGACAGAAATTTAAACTAATATAAAATAAGTTTTAAAAACGGTGATTATTTAAATTTTGTTTACAAAAAACAAGACCTATTTTACTGTATTTGTATAATAAAGTTTTGCTTTTTCGCATTCTATTTTTATGCGTTGCATAATGCCATTTCAATTCTACAAGATTACTTGGTCTCATAAATCTTAATAAGCAAATGAAAGTACAAGTTTCATTAATTATTGACAGCAAATAACATGTTTATGTCTGTTGATAATTTTTACTGATGAAAGTTGAAGTTACCATTCATTTCACTACGAAAATTTTAACCGCAAAGTTTTCCCTCCCTTTAGTAAGTAACAAACCTTTCAGTAAATACCACGAAATTTTAAATATTTTTTGGCTGTTGTGAAGAATTTCCTAGTTTAGTCCTGACTTTACCTTACTTAGAAAAAATTTGGAAGTATAAAAAGATCTAAGCTTTTCGTCACCACTATTTTTAAAGGAGTAGTTGCAAGCGACAGACAAGAAAATTTCAGGCTGTCAACATATAATACATTTAATATATTAACGTTTTTTCTGCACCATTTTCCCGTGATATTGCAGAATTTAGTACATTCCTCATCACTTCAACGTACATATTTAAATAGATTTAAATCAAACTGGTATTAAATAAAGTCAACAGTACAAAAGTGCAGATATCATCCTACTTCCAAGAATTACAAAGACAAAAGATAATAATGAGAAGGTATAATCTAAATCTATAATTTTTTCTCGAAGTTCCACATCATAACTAATTTGAACAAGCATCTACAAGATTTCACTATTGCAAATCATTATTTTAACACTTTAGAAAATGTAGTTACGTATTTACAGTTTTGTTATCTAATCCTGAAAGAAAAAAAGACAAAAAACTTAAAATTAATAAATATCTGTTGAATCTTCTTGAGTTATCTCCATTTATCGTTTAGAAAGGTTAAAAATTGCTACGAAAATCAACATCACCATTGTCACTTTAAATTAAGAACTGAATTACTTATGTATGAGTAATGATAAAATGTTTCATTTTTTCACAACTTTTATTTTATGTAATATTGAAATCTGTCACGCAGAAATGATTTTTTGCTTATATATATAAACCCAGAGTGCCCAACATATATATCTATACCGGTACTCCGACTGTACTTGTCCCGCGCTAAGATTTGATTTGCTGATCTTTTTTTGCTCATCCTCGTGGAATCCATGGCGTCATCGAATGAGATGCTTTCAAGCGTCCTCTGGAGCACTGTCCATTGGATACGTGCCCCTACGTGATCTGATATACTGACCTCCTTCACATAGCATTTATGGAAGTTCTTTGCAATCCCAACCGAAGTCATCGCATACGGAATTATTTTCGCCCTGCATTTCATCTCTGACCCGTTTATATTAGCCAGTATGTTATACTTTCGCCTTTCTCCGTTTCGACGCAGTCAATCTGTCCTGACTAGTGATACTAACCTCTATCAGGATTACTGCATGTCGCTTCCAATACATATAATAATTCTGGATTTTGAGCACAGTTTTTATGCATATTCCTCTGGCTAATCATTTTTTTTTCAGTTCATCACTGATGCGCAGAAAGTTTTTCTCGCTCATTTGGTGTTATATTAAGCGATAGGAACATTCACCAGTTCAAACTTTAGGTGTACTAGTATTGCTGGATGCGTGTATAATATAATAATGAATACTTCCCTTTATTTTTTACTAAAATGAAATGACAGCAGAATTAAGAACCCTCCTATTTATAAACATTTAGTAGAAGGCATTTCAATATGAAACTACATATCTTGATTACTTTGTCACTTAATAAAGAAGTTTTTGACCGTTTATAGCAGCAGCTCATTACTTGTGTAAAAGATAGTCTGAATTAAGACATTCAATTCTTATCAAAAATGGATAGAGATATGGATGATATCAATTTTTCTTCACTTTATTGTGTTGTATTTTTTATTATTCTTAGTTATAAAGCAGAAATATCACTAGAATAAACTAAAAAATTGAATATATAATACAATCATTTCTCAAATGTTGATGGCTTTCGCAAAACGTCAGTTACTGAAATAATCATTTGCAAATATGTGTTCCAAAAGGAAGGACATTTGCAAGCGATTATTTTGATTCAAAAACCATATTTTGCTCAACTGTTATTATTCTACAAGACTGTGACAAGCTTGATTTTAAATTAAAGTACCCATCTTTATGATAGCTATTTCCATCAAGTAGAAAATTCACTGCATCAAAAAAAGTCTTAAATAAATAGAAAATTGCTCAAAGCTTTCAACAAACATCATGAATATAAGAGCAAAACTGTAATTCCCAGAAGAATGTAATGTTTTATGGATAAAATCAACATACTGGAAATTTCTAAAGTTGAGAAAAATAACTGCCGCTATAGACTTATATTTTCAGTCATTCAAAATTTTGTTATTTATGATGCTACAGATGTTAGCAAGTAGTATTAGGACATTTGCAGATAGTAATTCATTTCTTTCATCACACCATCAAAAATCAACATCAAATAAATTTCAAACTGATTTTTGTTGAAGTGTAAATATACTGATGTAAAATATAAGTTTATTGATGCATCTGTCTTTTCATGCGTTGAAGAGAGCAAAAAGAAAGTTTGAGAAAGTACAAACGACATTAGAATATAACTGTACGAATTTTTCAAAAGCACAAGGGATGGAGACAGCAGTAATTCATATTTATTTTTATTTAGCGGCACATGGAAAGTTTTCTTTGTCGTGATAACCTTTGGTAGTTAAATGAAGCATAATGCAATATGGGCGATGTGCATCCGTTTACAAAGCTGGCACATAAATGATTTCGTTCGTCAACAAATCTGCTCCCTATAGCTTACATGAATACCAGACTTAGCAAACCGAACCACAAAAAGCTGAATTGGCTAGTTTAGCTAGGTGTAGTTAGTTGTATTGATCCTCCTTCAATAAAGGCCGTTTTAACTTGCTCTCTTGAAGGCTTCTGTTTTTTTGTCTAGGCAGAAAAGCCGAACCTTGAAGCTACCGCTAATGCTGCTATTAGCATTGGGCTGATAGATATATTCTTGAACAGATAGATTGATAGACTGATTGATAGATTAAGTGACAGATTGATAGACAAATCGAAAGACAGATCGGCTTGTGGTGGTGTCTCTTGCAGAGGAGTAGCCAAATAAACTTGCCTTCATGCATGAAGGCAGACCAACAAGAGGGTAGGAGGGCAGGCACGAATGTTGCAGTGATCAGTTATTCCATTCAAGTCAGCCTGACTTTCCCTACTGCTAGCCTTCTGTGCATGTCATCCTAAATGTTAGTGATGTCCTCGAAGAATCTGGTCATCTCTTTTTTTTCCTAGCAATTAACTCACTTTTCTTTTTTGCTTGCGCTACTAGCATCATTACTGTTTTCTTGGTGGAATTCAATCACTTCACTGTTATTTCACTTCCTCCCTTAATCCGTTGTTTCCTTTCTCACTTCTATCACTTGTATCATGCATTTCTTTTCATTCCAAGCGAAAATATCATTCTGTTTTGATTGCTCATTATGAATATCCACATTATTTCTCTTTCTGATATTGCATTATAGACTCTAGCAAAAGATAATCCAGGAAACTCTTCTTTCTGCACAACAACCGCAATCACTTTTATTATCATTCAAGTCTATTAACTTTGTTTTACTGCTACAAATAGCAGCTAGAACTTCTTTTGCCACTTTTCAGCTAACAATCCATTTTTCTTTTTACACACGCTTATACTCGTGCTCTCCACTCACCACTTCTTCCAGTCTCATGCACATTTTCATAGGAATGACAAGTGGTCGCTTATCATATGACATGAAAATTCACCTTTACATCTAATAACGAATTCACTATTAATTGTATATCTTATATCTGTGTATCTTCATTACACCTATATATATATATATAT